CATCTAAGCTGCACGTCAGTGACGCAAATGGTCTGAATTTGAATTTGACAAAACGAACAGATGTGCAAGGAAGCTTCAAATGCTTAATTATATTTGTCATTTTTCCTCGGTGGTGTTTGATGAATAAAATATCCACTTCTTGTGGGGAAATATCGCGCAGAGATGATACTGATATTTATTTCCAACTCTTGCTTAAAAATTTGATAGTAGCCTAAAAAAGATATAAATTTTGCTAAAATGTCAGCTACGGATGAATTTGACAAGTCAGCTGGATTTATTTAGAACAATGAAAAGAGAACCATTTTCATTCAAATTTCAGATCTAGAATAATATGTATGGATCATGATTAAAACTCAAAAATTATATGGCTTTAGCAGAATCCTCGCACTGGCGGCAAACAAGCTAAGTACAATTTATGTTCATCGCGCAAATTCGTGGAATCTTAGCAGACCGACCTAAACTGAGAGGATTTGGTCTCTGGCCGTCAGCGCACATGATCGCTCTGGGTATAATTTGGCGCCAGTGAGTCTGCAATCGATCTAAGGCTTCATTTGAAAATCATTAATGTTTGGCAGACCTACGTGCGTCAGATGATCTGGCTACCCCATCAACAGAACCATATATATGCTCAGCTTGTAAACATGACAATGAAAAAAAGAGTTAAGTTACACGGAGAAAGTCTCACGTAAATTCGATTTCTGGAAATACTTCGTACACGAGAAACTAAAAATCTCGCGATCTTATAAGTTAATTACAACAGCAGAACTTTACGAGAAGAATTAATGGTGGGTCGAAGAAAGTTCGGCAACCTCACTGGCTATAGATCCAATATAACGACTATTGTAATCAGAGCTTAATGATCATAAAAAAGAAGAACAAGAAGGAATAATTTTGAAAGAAAATATTATACTGCGAGTGGGACTTCTGCAAATTGATAAGAAATTTACTAACGCAGTCCTTATGGACGCCTTAAAAGCACGTTCAAAACAATAATTGCTAAATGAAACAGAAAAACAGGAAGGCCGATAACTTCTTTGAACTTTCCTGACGGCTGGGGTTAGATAAACATCCCTGAATCTCATGATTATTTTATATCACAGTGTATCTTCGTCTCATCGCGATATTCCTTCCGCAAAAGAAGTTGGGGAATTACCTCATAAAAACAATCGGTCCATAGATGCGAAAGGCGATTGTCCAGCCGTGTGTATGTTTGTGGATCATACAAAAAATTAATGGCAGTTCTTACTTTTATTTTTTTTAGACTTTTATTTCTATTGTAACTAGAATCATTTTAGTGACTTACGAGATTATGCAGGTTTCTATAATTGACAGAGACATTCAGAATGGAAATTTATCGGTTTGGTGACGAATGTCTGAGGAGGTTATGATGTCACTTTCATGAGGCCAGAGTTGTTTACAGGATTTTTATTTTCCTTCAAAGTTCTCAATTTCATGAATGAATTTCATGAATTTGCGTCATTTTCAGAGAAGATACCCTCTTCTCTTTGTTCTTCCCAAAGTGGAACCCAGACGAATAACAAGACCTATAAGCAAAAGCTGTCCATACTCAAACAATACGCGCGCGTGCGAAAACTGATGTTTCACTGAGTTGCGTCACTAGCAGCGGGAATTTTTCTGTGGCTTGCTCTTTAATGATCTGGACGGTGACACTTTGCTATCCATATCGTGGCTCAATTTGCAGCAACAACATAAACTGGGAATTGTTACTTCCAAAACTGTATATGTTATTCAGCAGGCAGCGTGAGGTCCCTGTATGGGAAAAATTTGAGCCCAAGGTCTTGAGTACTGTCCAAGGCCGAAGGTCATATTTAAGACCAAGGGCACAGTTTTTTTGCCCAAACGTATCGACCTAGACCGGTAAATAACTTATTATTATGTGACCATTGTTGTAAAAGCTGGAACGGTTTCGAACGGCATCAGCCAATCGGATTCGAGGATTTAAGATTCCAGTCCGCTGAGATTGTTCAAGAAAAAGTAGGTCCTTCTTTGTTTGGAAATTTACATATTAATAAGTTGCACTCGAAACGATTTTCTCGGCGGTGCATGAGGTAACATATGACGTTTGTCCTTGGAAGCCTCCTATTGTCTTAAAAATGACATGTTAGGCCCAGTTCAGACGTCGTGCTTCTACCGTGTTGAGCTCAATTCCGAATTCAAGTTCGACAAAAGCATGAAAGTAGCACGGCGTCTAAATTGAAATTCTTAAGTTCGACAAGCAATAAGTTCGACAAGCTCTTCCGTGGTACACGACTCTGGTGCGATTCAAACTTCGTGCCTCTCCCGAGCCAACTGTGTTTTGATGGGATTGCGTTCTCGCGGGAAGTTACCAGAATGAATTGTTACCTTGCTTCGATAAACCCTGAATTCTTTACGACTCTAACCCGTGCGGTGCTTAAGTCGAACCTAATTGCCATGAAGTTCAGCATGACAGAAGTACGACGTGCATCTGTCTTTATGAACAAATACGACTTCAAAAATAACAAATTCATCAAGGAGAAAAATATTTCCCAGGGTATAGATTACTTGACAACCGTGACACACGTCAAAGAAAATAAGCGATGAAATTTTTATCGAAGGGGTAAACTTGCAAGTGTTCCAACACTGTTTTCTGGCGTTTGTTTGAGAACATGCGGTGACTAAATTTCGTTTTCAAGCTGTTCTATGCAAACTCAAGTATGTATTGATAGTTTTCATTTTGGGCAAAAAGTATGTTTGGCATTTTCCNATTTTCCGCGAACGAACCTTATTTGTTATGGATGTATGAATATGAAAGTGAGAAACAGCAGATACGTGATTAGTGCGTTTTTGAAGAAGAAAACTAAATCATAGAAACACTTTGAATACGACATTTTCAATAATAAGCAATTACATTTCCGTATGCCAAATGATGACGTTCAACTAATGCCAAAAAAAAAAACAAGGCGCCCACTCAAATGAACAACAGACCGTTTGTGAAAACACATCAATCTCGACCATCCTTCGCCATTCGCGTTCCTTTTCAGTTTTAATTCTTTCCATTTTAAAAATTTTGCTCTGATATCAAGCATATCTTTTAAGGTTCCCTTTAGATAAAAAATGTTTGGCGTGTCTCACAGAAACTAATGAAAAAATATTGTAAGATGCAGTTGATTAATAGTCAATGGATCGCTTTACTCTTTCATAATCATGTTTAATTGGCTGCTTGATAATCAAGTTCAGTTAACCGGGAAATAATCAATGCTTACCTTGATGAATTTTATTCACTGTATTGCCTTACATGAGCTAAAACAGGAACAGATATGAAGTGTTTGTTCCTATTGGATAAATGCCTCAGCCATTACATAATCTTGATTCTATTGTTTAGCACACCCTTAACCGCAGTCACGTGATTATCCATATATCCATCTTTGTACATTAAGTTCATCAGTATTCTAATGAAGCAGTTGTGTTGAGCACTTGGTCTGTACACGCGCTACTCTATAGTGGTATAACGAACCTTAATACACAACAGGTTACATCTTCTTAAATATCTAATTAATCAGCAGTATTTAGGCTCCGCGGTGCGGATCACTCACTCATAACTATGTCAAAGCTTTTCATCAGATACGTGGGTCATGCGGTCAAATTTCAAAACAGTACGGACTAACTAGACTAAAAAAAATTGTGCTGGATGTTTTAAATGAGCGAAAAACAGCAGCTGATTTGCAAACACGACTAATACAGCTTACAGTTTAGAAAAATACAATGTTCACGAAATTTTTAGCCCTAGGCAAAAATTACAATGTTTAGTGAAAAAAAAAAATACCCGAGCCATTAAGAATGGTGTTGTATAACAAGCGTTACTTTCGGTGGAAGTTTTTATCCAGAACGGTTAGGATTAGTGACCAGACAGGACGTGCGCTAACAACACAGGCAGTAAGAAGGACAGATACGTGAAGAACAATCCTATTGCGTCTCCTTTAGGCTTTGTATTCTCTGGCGGTTTCACAGTAGTCCGCTGTACTTCTTTACCTGTTCCGGTACTCTGGCAACTGCCTCCCTCACAATCGCGTTTACACTCACTTCCGTTGCACTCCAACAAACAATTTCCACCAGGACAGGACATAATGCACATGTCTGAGCCCGTCTCACAATGCATGTTACAGTATCCTTCAGTGCAGGTCTGATGACACTCCTTTGCCTTACATCTCATGTTGGTGCAGTTTTTTTCGCAGACCTGGCTGCAGTCACCTTGGTCAGCAGTGCACTAGAAATGAGCGCATTTGCCTCCCTAGCAATCACTTTTGCACTTTTTCGCTTTGCACTTGATATCGCAGGCTCCTTTTGCACAGGTTTGTTGACAAATTTCAGAATCGCTGTTCATGCAATCCAAGTTGCAGTTGCCTCCGATGCAGTTGCTTTCACACTTTGAAGCTTCGCACTGCATTTTGCAAGGCCCCTTACAATTCTGTGTACAGTCCTTGGTGCCTATGAGACATCAAAATTGAAATTTGTTAAATTTTAGTTTGTTCCCAGATATCCCTTTCGGATGCACTAAAATCTGAACTATGGGGAGAACTAACAGCAAGTTAAGTTCTTCACTAAGTTTGCATGCGACGAGCGGAATGTTTACTCCCAGGATCAGCGATGTCAAAAGCCACCTCTACTCATTTGTGGCTCTCTTATTTCTTTTCCGTTTTACCATTTTTTTCTTGTTTCTCAGAATTGATATTGCGTAAGTGGCATAGATTGAGGGTTTTATGTCATTCAACAAATCTGCGCAAGTGTCTTTAATATAAAGAGTTACCCAACGATTAAGGACATACCTTTGGAGCACCCCAGCCCACATCTCTCCCCGTCGCAGCTTTGCCTACAGCTTTTAGCCTCACACTTCACATCTGAGCAATTCTCGGCGCAATTTTGGACAACTGTGCCTGCACTGCTGGCGAGTAAACCACAGTGTCCCTTCTCGCAGTGCTGATTACACTTTGATGTTACAGTGCAGTTCACCAGAGAGCAGTTTCCAAGGCATGTCTGAGTGCAATCGTCGCCGGAACATTCAATTGAATCACACTTTCCTGACAGGCACCGCTGATAGCAGCTGGAAGAGTTGCAGCTGATATTGGAGCAGGGTTCCACAACGCAAACCTGGTCACACTGAGAATAGCCCGCAGTATTCCCGCACTGGAGGTCACACTTTCCTGTCAGGCAGATTTGGGATCGGGTCGAATTCGATATCTGTTCGCAGGAACCCGCTTGTCCACTGATGAGTTGGAATCCGGCAAACAGGATCAGAATTAGCAATGCTGATTGCGAGCTTATATTCATCATGCACGAGAAAGGTCAAGACTACTTGATCTGGTAACACAAAAAAACAAATGAATTAAAAATCAATTGTGAGAAAATCGATTCGCACAATATTCGATTTTGCTATCCAAACAAATATGTCGGCCCACTCGCATTTATGCTTCTTTCTTACCTACTTTCTTTCTTTTTTCTTTCTTTTTTTTATCTCTCAAGACCTATCATTTACATAAACTTGTTTACGTACATACACTAAAAGACGAAAAACAAAGCCTACCGAAATATGATGGACAACCTACTTTGAGATGATCTTTCCTTTTTGTAGTCTTTTAAGACTTTCGCGTGATTTCCCTAAAGCAATCTAAAACAATAATTATCTGATAACCGTGTGATAATTTCACTGCGAAATAATCCCATGAACACCATCGTAGTCAGAAACAACTTTAATTCACAGGAAAGGTCGCTATTCATCTGCTGTCTCCTAGGAAGTCTGATATTGACGAAGTTTATGAAGTACCTATTGTTTGAATTTGCATTATCTGTAAAAACATCATCCGAAATGCTTTAGATAAGCTTGATTGTTTGTTGCCATGAACTGTTCTCGATCTGCAGTGCTCATTTTGATATGGTGCAAAAATGTTTAGGGTGAAGGAATTGTTTGATCACTGTTCCCACGAATATAACACCCTGCTCACAGAAAGTTGTGCAAAGGCCAATCCAGAGTATTTGCATAAAGTTGTTTACATACAGACGCCAACGCAGACAGAAAAAAAAAGCTAACTCTTCATTTTCAAACTACGGCTGGTGGATTTTCAAACATCGGCACTTTTCATTTTTGTAATTTTGTAATTCTCTTCATTGGTCAGATGGACTGTGCATAATCTGCGTTGCAGGTAAAAAAAAGGCCGCGGAGCAGAATTCAAAGAATTTTTCGATAGCATGGTTGAGGAGACAAATTGTTTTCGGGACATAGTTTACAAAGAGCTGGCAGGTTAACATTGATAATAAATCCTATAGTAACGTTTGTTGCTGATGCAGGGTCTGAACAGGGTGTAATATTGAAACATTGCATTGTGAGTTTGCCGGAGACTCAAGTTAAAATCAAAGAGAAAGTTTCGTCTCTGCAGCTGGCATGACTTGCGTGATGGGTTTCTTAAAAAAAAATCTTTTCAAAGCCGGCTTTACGGTTCATCTTTTATCAGAGACGTCTCTTGAATTTCAGTCTTGTCAGTACGACTCTAGTACGCCTGAGAAACAAAATTATCTTCAAAATCTGAACTTTTAGTGCAAAATAAAGCAACTTGAAAGATTTTCCAGTCTTTCTGTCAAGACCACTGGGGCTGTTATTCCTTGCTCAATTAGTCTGATCAGTTTCGCTTTCGAATTCCTGAGAATCTAATTAAGAGCTGCCACGAAAGCACTTTTTAGTTTCACGGGGTATAGTGATGTATATGATCATTTCCCTCTTGAAATCGTATAATTCCCAGAGGAAAACTTGTTTTCCTCTGGGAATTATACGAAGAAAAAGTCTAACAGAAGGAACTGCGTAACGAGGGGATATCCAAAACGATCGCATCGAAAGTGTGCCACCGGCGACACTTAGATTTTATTTAGGGTCCATACTCAACAAGTTCCGCTTAGGTTACGCTCAGTTTAGGCCACTTTACTCGGAGTCATGGTCAGCCGTGTTTGATCTGCTTTGTCTCTCGAAAGTGCATACTTCGCAATGGAAATTAAAGGTTGCAGTAAAACGCATAGAGATGAATTCGGCGATAGTAAACTTCGAAGGCATGCGTTTTCGTCGCATTGACCGGCCGCGGTCGTTCATCACTAAACACATTCGGTACTCCGCGCGGGCAAAACCACCACTTATCGCCATAGTTCCTCTCAAGAATGACAAATGAAGCACAGAAGCAGTGTTAATGTAAGAATACCGTCTCTGATTTGATGGCTAAATACAAAAGTTTGGAGTCAGTCAAATTAATCTATAAATGCATGCTTCCTCATGGACTACACGGTGAACTGCTTTCAGTTTTGATGTTTCGGCTAAATTTTTCAGCTTTATGTTCGCTATAAACTCACCTGTAGTTTTGTCGGTACGGAAACTTAGATCTGTAAATCTGTACCCTCAAGGAAGCTGCTTAGTACACCGTGCCACCAACTATGAAAGCTTTGACACTGTACAACAGACTAATATAGGCGCGTAATTCCATTGGATCAGTCAGAAAGTAAAAATAGCTCAATGGTTTTGACAGGATGTTTTTCACTTGGGGGCCCCCCCCTACATGTGACCAAGGAAGGTCACTACATCAATCTTGCCAGAAGTGTAATTTTAATATTTGCTCTTGAAAATTAGCGCACTCAAAAACCAAGGAAGAGAAAGAGGAAGTAAGAAGAGTGGTTCAAACAAAGTTGAGAACACACTCTTCCGCTCTGACTAAGGGTTAACGCTCAAATATCAGCTTTAAGAGCCGGCTCTTTAGAAACTTAGCCTCAAGAACACATCCGTTTGTGTCTGATTTCTAATCGTCATATCATTTAAACCGAGGAAAGATGGCGGGTACAACCTCACGTCTACATCAGTTTGCAAAACTCTTAAGATTAATCTCGAAGTTTGCTTCAAACATGACAGTTCTTGTTATTGAACAAACAATAGAAGTCCCTTATCTGATGGGTCGGTCGATACGAAATTTCCATAAAGTATTGTCTTGTTCTGGTTGTAGCTAATTAGAATAAAAATCACTCTGACCTCGCAAAACAATGCACTTTCCGGATCAGTGGATGCAGAGTTTTCAACTCTAGACAAATTCCAAACTTACAAGGGGAAGCGGGGGGGAGTAACTAGTCAAGTACAAATATACATCATTTATTGGTGCTTGTTTCCTAACGTCAACAGGATTTCTTCTATGTTTTAATTAAGGGTTAATTCCAGCAAAACAACTGCCCTCATCTCAAAACAAATCTGCCATTCCTTCCTCCAAGAAGTGCTTGTAAATACTCATAAACTTCGCCACAAAAGCCTCCAGGTGATAAATGGCTTTATTTCCCTGGTGAATGCGGTGTTCATAAAGGGCAGCCATGTCTGTTACTTCTGCTTTTAAACTGCCATCACAGTTAGTCACTAATTCTTTAATCAGACCCTACAAAACCAACGAATAATTAAGTTAGTGTGTCTGCATAAAATATCAAGATGTTTGAAATTTGAAGACTTACTAGGCAGAGGAGAAAATTTACTGCAATATGCAAACCTGCATTTTTTTTTCAACAATTTTGACCATGAGAAATAACATGAGAAAGAGGTATGAAACAGCCCCTTCTGGGAATAGAATAATTATTGTCTTACCTTAAATATTACATCAGGAGGAATGCAGTGGGTCAAGAGTTCATAAAGTCTACCTCTTATCTCTAACAACCTAAATATATAAAGGCAAAAAGTTGAAAATAAAAAAACACAAAATATAGGTTATTTGTTCCAATGAAGGCCTAACTCTCCAAAATGTGACCAGACTAACAATTGTGCATGACATTGCAATATTTTTTGTTATAATTTTAGAATTACATCTTCAGAAACTATTTCCTATGATAACCAAATTATCATACACAAAGGATTTGCATCATAAATTTCCTTTAGAATGATCACACCTAACTTCCAAAATTTTAGAGAATTTCCTGCTATTGTTCGATTCCTTATAAAAGAAGTACAGTTAGTTAGTTTAACTCAGTAGTTCAGAGTGTCCAGACCAGCACTTACTAGCTCAGAACCTCTTGGTCACAGAAAAAGTAACTCCAGTACATGTAACCTCAAGGTAGTGACCTATTCTACTGAGGATTTGGTATGTCACATTTGACCTATTATTGCATGTCTTACAGTTTGAGTTCAAGAATAATATGCTTCATGTGTACTTATCTCAATCCAATTGTTTAGTCTTTGCTTGAGTCCTTATATTAGTTGATTCATGTTCAAAATGTGTCAAGATTGCATTCAGCTTTCAGAACCTTGCATTTATCTGTATACTTGACTTAAAGTTCATTGGTGAAATCAGATATCTCACTACAGTCTTCATTCTTTAGTCCATCAGTAATGACAGATGTTGTCCTGTCACTGAATGAGATTCTACCAGTCTTCCTAGTTTTAAGTCCAAGGAAAATATGAAATTGTGATTGAAATAATTCAGTCTGAGATTGTGTACGATCAGGAATTGAGGAAGATGATTAGAGACTAGATTACCACTGATGGCATTCATAGCATGACTATTTGCAAATATATTATCAATGAAGGTTGCTGATCTTTAAGTAATACGTGTTGATTGTGAGATGCAAGGTACAAGAGAAAAGGAGTTTAGCATTAGCAAGAAATCATTGGACTCAGGATGACTTTCACAATTGAATAAGTTTATATGAAAATCACCCATAATGAAGAGGGACTTATTTACCCTAGTTAGCCGAGATAAAGTTGACTCGAGATGTTCTCTGAACCTTAGGGGTAGTGTTCTGTCATGCAATGCTTTAAAATTGTCTTGTTAGTGCCTTGCTATTGTATGACAATCGATTGTATTTTTTACTAATTGTTTTATTTCATTATTTTAAATTATTGATTTGTTATTTGTCATTTATTATTTCTTTTAGCTTGCAATCACCCTTTCTTTTTATCAGTATTATTTCTTTTGTACTTTCCTGTATAAATAAATTTTATTGTGGCTATAAGTCTGTCTCATTGTTCAAATAACAACACCAGAACCTGCCTCAGTCACAAAAATATCAGCTTTAGTGGCCAATTAACATTATCAACTCAGTTGATAAAACAAGTCATCTTGTGATACCCCCTGCACCCCCACCCATGCAGCACCAGTTTCCTTAGAAACTTACCCCCCCTTCCTTGATTAAAAATTCAGATTAACCTTGTATCTAGTGCTGAGGATAATGGGGCTAGATTTAGCATGAGAGACATGTGCTATTGTAGCTTGTTCATGATGGAACATTGTTTGATAACTTCCAGGAAATATGCACATGCAATAGTACTTTTTTCAGTATCTTGTCTGGTAGAATTAAATCAATTCAATGGCAGATATCTATCAAACAGGCCTGGACCTCAATGCAAGTTGTGACCTCACCTTTTAGGTGTTTGTTGCTCAACAATCTGCTGTGCTGTGTCCCTCAAATACACTTCCCAGTCTGCCTCTTGCACAGGTTGATCAGGTGAAAAAGGGTATCTACAAATATTTTTACAATGTAAAATGTTAATGAAAGGAAAAGATAGCATGTGAGATTAAAATTGCATAGCTTTCAGTAACTATCACAGTTCCTGCAGCATAAAGAAGTTATGAGTGTTGCTACTCCCCTTAAGAGCTAAAAGGTTAAGACTATCAGGGTTCAACATTAACTTTTCAACTTACTAGCCAAGTGGCCAGTGACATCTTAGATGTTTTTAGATGTTACTACAGTTTCAGTTTGTTTACTTGCCAAACTGGCTAGTGGAAATTGAAAACCACTAGCTAAAACTGAATTTCTACTAGTCTGTGGCTAGTGGGCTACCGTTAGTGTCGAGCCCTGACTACTGTGCAAAAGATAGTCAGCTCTTATTCATTAATGTTAATACTACATTTTTAAGTGAGGTGCTTACTGTTGAACTCTGCATGCTTCACACATCAGCAGGGCCCTGCGTAAATTTCTATTCGACTTCTCAGCTATTCGCTTGGAAAGTTCTGCAGGAATGGTCAGGCCCTCCTTTTTACAAACATTGTGCAACATTTGACAAATCTGGAATAGTACCAGAAAACAAAACTTTAGCATTAAAGTAAATCTGAATCTGTTAGCTAGCATTTAACTAGTTAACATAAAAACCTGTTAAATTTTACACTGCTTCCTCAACACATCTCTTAAATAATCAACATGTGTTTCTAGACTAAATATTACTTCTCACAAACTTTGTATAGATACAAAATACTAAACAGTTCTACTAGGCAATGTGTAATACCCATCTATGACACCCATTGTTAGAAATTCTATTGTGACACTACAAAAGGGAAAGTTACCTTGTCTTTACACAAACATTTTACAAGTTTTGTTTTGCTATCAAAAATGAGATTATCTGGATTGTTCTGATAAAGTAGGGAAACTTCCCGAAATCTCCTATCTGTCAAGACATTTTTCTACCAAATTGGAAATTGGAAATCTTGTCAAATGTGTAGTTGTTTTAAGTTTAAGCATCCATAAAAAGAGATGTTTTCAATACCAAAAATACATTAACTCTAATAAATACTTAATAGCAAACCTCATCCACAGATGGAGCTGCAACCCTGACTCCCAAACAACGACTGCGAATTGCAGGAATAACTTTACTTGTTGAATTACAACACAGAATAAGTCTGCATGTTGCTGTGTACTTTTCCATTGTTCTGCGCAGGGAATGCTGTGCATCTTTCGTGAGCCTGTCTACCTCTGTTAAGACTACCACTGTAAATAGATTTAGATTTAAGAATTTGCATGTCATATTGTTTAATCCTAGGAAACAAAGCTACCTCATGGGGACTGTAAGTGATAAAACAGTCACCAGACAGAAAAATTTTCTGTCTGGTGACTGAAAAGTTAGATGATGTGACATATGGCTTCCAACATGTCTCACTGCACCCAACTCAGAGACACAGGATCTCAAGGCTCAGTATACAGACAGCCAAAAAAGAAGGCGCATATTACTACCAAAATGAACAAGATGGTGTTAATAATATTTCAACAAAATGTTTATCTTACTCTATTATTAGAAAAAATGTAATACGAACCTAAACACAAGTTGTTACTTTTAACCCTTTATACCATAGACATTAGATAGATAGACATTTATTAAGAAGAATACCTTAATAGCAGCTGGAAGCTGAATTGCAAAGGTGTACAAATTATGTAATAGAACTATACAATAAAATCAAACCTAAAAGGGAACTAATTTACATATACAATTGTAATAAATGTTA